TTCCACATGAGTTCTGGGAGGACAATACATCCAAACTCCATCACCTTGTAACACCAAAATTCCCTGTACAGGTAGCTGCCAAAAAAAAAAAAAAAAAAGGCACTGAGTGAGACCCTGACCTGCACTGATTATCTGCTCAGTGTGTTTGGGAAACTTAGCAAACATATATTCTTTAATTTCTCTCTTTTTGATATATTTGTGATAAGGAGGTATTGTTTTCAAATTAATCATGAATGCTTGGGAATTATTCTAGGAAATAACTACTAACATATATGTTCTATGGAACTCAGTGTAAAATGATATTCACGTTGTTGATCTGGAAGAGTTACCAGGAATTCTGATATCCAGGCTCTGACTGTAATTTCCAGGTTCACTGTTACATACTAGAGCATGATTTTTAAAAATAAGTTCAATAATGCTTGAACTGTTACACTGTCCTATTTAATTCATTTGGCAGGAAGAGGGAATGCCACAGTGCCACCCATCTTTTTACTCTCCTTCCTCACAGCCTGATCTTTCATTTGAAGGAGTATTATAAGGAAGTCACTGGAGGTGTTGCCATGATCTCTCCCACTCCATATTGAAAATTGTGCCTTAGCTTTGATGGATGCTGGATACAGTGGCGATTTGAGTCATCTGTGAGGGCTGAAAGGACTTCCTTAGTGGGTGCGTGGTCTATGTGGCCTGGCAATTATTTATGTCACCGGTTCATTTTAAACTTCTGTTCTGTCTGCATCTCCCAGGCATATAGCTGTGTACTATTTCCCTCAACTTTATCAGGAACATGACACTGAAACAACTCTAGGAATACATTTTATCATCTTAGAATGTCTACTAATAGCCACGATGCTGAGAATTAACTGGCTTCATCAGAGTCTAACTCTGTTTATGCTATTGAAAAATCATATTTCTCACCCCAGTGGCCTCTGAAACGCTGTCTTAAAGTTAGTTATGAGCATTTTGTTTTCTAGGTACATCCTGGTGAGTTTCTAGAAAAGAATCATTTAGAGATGAATAAATATTCAGAAATTGTTGTTTAATTTAAGGAGGTATCAGTAACTTATTTTCACCTCCCTTCCAGCTTTGCATGCTGTTCAGGTGCCATATCTATTAAAGATTCACTGATATCCATTGTAAGGTTTTTGAAAGACATTTTATTTAGAAAATGTTTTCATTTTTTATTGGCCCCCTCCTCTTTTCAGTATTGCTCCAAACATTTACATTAAAATGAAGTTTATCTTTGGAAAGTTAAGATGTACCTGCCACTGTGATTGTCTGCTTGGATACATAATCTTGTCTCAATTATGTCACATTTCTCTACTCTTAAAAAAGTGTACTGATTCATGTGACTAAAGCACATTGTATCTTCATTCAGAGAATCCAAATTAGTGACAGAGAAAAATAGCAAAGATTGGTATTTTTAAAAGAAGAAAAAAACATCCCTGGAGAAAGGTTATTGTTAATAAAGTAGAGAGAGAATGATCTCTTTGAAAAGCATTCTATTTTAGTGTATGTGACATAGCAACAACTTGGACTTTCTTGGAAATGAAGGAACACACTAACCCTATTAGATAATGCTCTCTTGGGGTTGCCTAGGTTTGCATGGCAGCTGCAGTTTCTGTTCAGACTAATAAAAAGTGGAAATTAATGAGAACGTGACTTTAGATGGGATAGCAAAAATGCCAGCTACACTATTCTTTATAATGCTTCTGCTAGCCCTGGGTGGTAATGAGGTAGGGATATATATATATGCATTGAGGGAGGAGGTTTTTTTAAAGCTCTATTAAAGCACTCTGTCTTAGCCAGATACATTGCTCCTCAAAAGCCACATATTAAAAAGTTCAGATTTTTTTTTTATTAAACAACAAAGTAGACATTCTGCTTCAGAGATTTTTGTTTGTAGATTCATATACATGATGACCTTTTCTAATTCCCTCTTATTTTTAGCATCCAATTACTGTTCTCTAAATGAATGCTTAATTCTCCAGTTTAGTATTGGCTACAATTTTATTCTGAGGCTGCTGCAGGCAATAAAAATTATTTGCAGTTCAGTTTATTAATTTGTATACTGTTTCCTCTGCTATATACTCCACCACTTGTTCACTCTTTTATGTAGTATGGAGCAGGGTATCTTTTTTCTTTGGTTTATGACAACCTCAATACAACTACTTTACAAAGAGATCTCTAAGCTGCATTTAATATATAGTTTTTGTCTAAAAAACTAAGAAGGAGAAAACATCCCCTCCAACTTTACAGCATATCTCAGAATACAAAACTTTTGCCATATTTTGGTGAATCACAGCCTGTTCATTCCCATTGTAAACACATTCCCTTATATCCATTTAATTTTGTATCCAAAACAATAGTGACAAAGAATTCTATTGTGATGTTTCAGAATGATCACTGCACGCCTGGCTTCAAAAGCAAACCAGGACACAGGAAATTCAGATCACGAAAGCTTTTGCTACTTTTCTTATGTCTTTGACTTGGACATGTTTTGGAGGATTTGGAAATAATTAATTAACTGTTTTTTTTTTTTTTATACAGTATGCTGATAAGTTAATACTTAACACTACAGTGTAATTCTGTTTTGGTGACAGGTGGCCCGGCGCTGGGGCATTCAGAAAAACAGGCCAGCTATGAACTATGATAAACTTAGCCGTTCACTCCGCTATTATTACGAGAAGGGAATCATGCAAAAGGTGAGCAGCTAATACAGCATTAAAGTTCATTAAAATGCTGCACATTAATCCGCACATCATACTTTAAAAGCCACACATCACTGCATTGTTGGAGCAAGGTTTTCACTCATCTTAACAAATGCTTAGCTTTTGGTTTTGGTATTACAAGCCTTTCTATTTATAAGTTCATGGACATTGTAGACAAACGGGTAATAATATTCAGTACAGAATAACAGGCTTTTTGGAAGTTCCTCCTTTGCTGCACATGGTTAAAAAAAAAAGTGATTTCAATATTAATATTGCACCTAATCTATGTATCTCCAGAAGTTGTTATTCTGTAGCATGTTGCACAATTACATAATTTAGGAAAGCTTTTGTTTGTAGATTCCACTGAAAATAAAGAATCTTAGACTAATTTAATTCTTACTTTTTTTCTTGTTCTGACTCATAACATTTTTATTCTCATTTGTAAAAACATTTTTTTTCTTGCCTGAAATCTTTTATTTGACAGTTTAACATTTATATCATTTATTAAAAATAAGTATTTGATCTTATTTGGTTGGTAGAACAAAGTTCAATATATTTTATTTCACATGTGCTTCCCTTAGTATTTGAAAGTAGCTTTTTAAGAAAGTGTACAGATAAAACAAATGAATTATACTTACAATAAAATATAAAATTTTGAAGAACACAGTGAATCAGTGAATAAATAAAAACACATGAATATTTGTTATTATTATATCTTTAGACTTGTATGGGTATTCAAATCTAATTGCCTTAACTGTGAACCAAGTTTATAATTTATCCATTGCAGACATTACAGTTTTATTATGTATCCTTTGTTTATTTGGGGGTTCATGAACATAGTTATGTGTTATAGATTATGACATATTTTTATGTCACCATACTTATACCAAGAAAAACAAGACCAGTTGCCACATGAAACAATAGAACAGAGGGAAATAGCACTGTTGAGTTTCCTGGAACATAAGGAATCAGTGCTCTGGAATTTGCCAGCTCAGATGTTACAACTTCCAAGATCCTTGAAAGATAAAGTTGAACTAGATTTTCAATTGCTTCCTATTGCCTGAGTCTCACCTTCAAAATGTGTAACTGTACACTACCTGCTCCTTTTGTCTTTTCCAGCTCAACCCTGGGTTCACTTTTCATTCCTTTCTTTTTCTCACTCTCCACACCCATTTGTAGCCATGTCCTTTCAAATACCTCCCGTTCCTTCATTTTCACTAGCATCTTCCTAGTGCAGGGACACACCTGCTGGGCTGTCACTGTAGGTTCTCAGCAGTTTCCCTGGGCAATATATTGCACAGCAGTAAAAGATAATGCAATCATGAGTTAGTTTTGAATACTAGCTTCTCATGGGTTCACATTTTGAACAGATTCTTCTTCTCCTAAATAGTGATATTCTTACCTCATTAAAGTTGCTGTGATTTTAGGGCCGACCCGGTGGCGCACTGCGCTAGTGCGCCGCTTGGGAAGCGCGGAGGCGCTCCCGCCGAGGGTTCGGATCCCACATACAGACCGGTTCCCGCTCACTGGCTGAGCGAGGCGCGGGGGCAACACTGAGGGTTGCGATCCCGTTGCCGGACACGGAAAAAGACAAAAAAAAAAAAAAAAAAAGAAGTTGCTGTGATTTTAAAATGAAGTAATGTACTTGAGCTACATTGTGTTATACTGGGACAATAAAAGTCTCCAGTAAATAGTATCTCTTAATGCATCTCACATCCTGAAGTCAGGGTTAGCGAAGGCATATTTGGCCCTGTGTGTCTTGACTATTAAGTAAGTCCCTTATTAAAGGGAGCACTCACAGAAAGCTAAGAATTATAAAGTTCCTTATTATACCTCACCTTTTAGATAAAGTGGTTGATAAGGGTATCTCCAGGATGTCATGCCTAGACTTAAATATTCTCAAATGTGTTTAAACTTACTACTATTATCACCGCTTCCACATTCCCATTTATTTATCCTCTTATCCTTATTCCATTTATGTATCCTCTTGTTTTAATAACTTAATAAGGCAAAATGCTATCACATAATGACATTGACACTGAACTACAGATAATAATGTTGCTCCTCACACTTCTCCCTATTAGGCTGTAACTGCCAAAGGAAACTATTTACAGCTCACTTATCAGCTAATAAAGGAAAATAAAATGCTTTGTGTGGCAGACCTTTTGGGATGTCACTGTGTAATGTAAGAAAGGGCAGGTCATTTCATAGCCAAACATGCAAACGTGTTTTCTAAATGTGCCTAGCACAACAATCAATGCCCCTCACAACATTTACTTTTCTTGTTGATACATGTGGAGCATTCTACTTGCTGTTCCCTGACATACCTTGACTCAATGCATCACTCATGTTCTTCCTAGAGTGCCCTGTCCTAGTCATCTTTACCTGTTAACATATGCACCAGTCTGCTTGTTAAGTAAATTCTAGTATCATCATTCAGAGGAAAAGTATGCAGTTCTTTTAAAAAAACCCTGTGATATGGAATTATGTATTTCAACATGTAGGGGAAAATATTTGTATGAACGAATTTGTCCATTGGTTTAAGACTTTATATGGGTATATGTGGCGTAAAAATATAAATTAAAAGATTAGCACATAAAATAAAAATAACCAAGTAGGAGGTCTCAACATGTAAAAAAATTAAAAACTGGCAATTAATTTCAGTAGTTATGAAAGAAATAAGAAACAGTGGAATAATGCTTGTTATACCTTATGGGCAAGGCATATGTGTACTTCTATTTCAAAATTTAGAAATACCTAGAAAAATATATACCAATATTTTAACAGTATTTATATTTTGGATGATATAATCTATAATTCCTAATTTTAGTATTCAGTTACTTTTAAAATTTTAGAAGTTAAACATGATTTAAATACCCAGACTTTGAAAGCACAGCAGAAAAACTACCCTCTTGTTTACTTCTGATTCATCTTCCCTCTAAAATTCCTGTTTTTCTATCTTAGTGTTCAATTTGGGAATACTTAGTGTACAGCATTTTCCGCATTGTAACTGCTTTACTAATAATGGAAGACATTATTTCCCTTGGTTGGTTTTCAGTCCTTGTTCTAAACCCAGCAGCATTTAAAATGGTATAATAAATATAGTAGCAGCCCTAAAAATGTTTATTCAAAAGAAAAACAGAAGGTTTCAGTGAGTAAAGGCAGAGTCTAAGAGATTTTATAATCTTGATTGCTTATTATATATTTTAATTTCCCACAGTGAAAAGTTTTTCATTTATCACATCATTTCTAATTATAGCCAGTAGCAACAGGTTGGACAAAAAAAAAAGTCTAGAACCAAAAGCAAGTGTCTCTTTCTCCAAAGCCCCAAATAACACAAACAGGTTATAAAACACTCAGAGGCGTGTAGGCTGTTTATTTCATGTTATTTCTCAAAATATTTTGAACAAAGGAAAACAAAGGCAAAACTAGCATTTATTATCTCAGATTTGTTTCTGATATTGCCTATTTTTATTTTTATGGTAATTTCACCATTTCATCTTTAAGAACTTAATTTCCTTTGTACAAAGGACTAAAGTCAATGGATTTACATCGGGCTCCTCCGTTAGCCGTGTGCTGTGCTGGAGACTTCCATCTCCATCTCTCTACAGGCTTCTCAGGAGCCACTCCTGTGTCCATTTCACAAAATAGAGAACTGAGGGGCAGATTAAGAAACACATTCGAATTCATAAAAACCACTAAACGTTTGACTCTTTCAAATCCAAATATATCCATATTATTTGGATTCTGTGAAGTGGTTCCTCTTACTCAAATTCAGGGCCCAAAATGCTGTAAATCTGAGTCCAGAGCAGCAGTGTTCTTTGGCAGTTGTTCTTTTCTTGCCAAATGTATACAGTTTATAAACCATGAGAACTCTGTTCCCCTACATCACAGAGCAACTAGCAATGCCTTTTTGATATGAGGAAACACAGAGGTGTTGAGTGTTTTCTAAAATTACAGAACTCTACACACACACACACACACACACACCACACACACACACACACACACACACACACACAGAGTTATATCAAACTAAATGCAAAGAACTCTATCTGTCCACCACCCCGATGGGTTTTGAGCCTCGCAGCGTTATCTTTTAATGGGAGAGATATTTGTCTCACTCAACTGTTAATCATTTTCTAGAGAAGCATTCCTCTTCAGAATTTAAGTTTGGGAATGTCATTCCCTACAAATGATGCTACTCCTCCTTTATTTCAGGCAGTTGTCATATCGTTTTCTCATTTCCTCCCTACACATTGTGTATTTTAAATTCTGTTCACTTTTTTACACCTCTTACTTCAATTTGATGCTTTGCACACATCCTTAAGTTCTGCCTAATGCGTCTTGCCTTCATTTTTAAAAGTGATGTACCCAGGATAATACTGTCCTCTTGATTCATGTTTCATTTGAATAAGGCTATGTATCTTTTTTTTTTTTTTTAGATGAAAACAGTGCAGGAAAAAAAGAAAAAAGGCAGCAGGCAAGCAGCAGTTCACTCTGTGCATTAGTGAATCACTAGCCTAGTCTTATTAGGAATAAAACACATTTTTCTTTAAAGGTTTGAAAGTTTAGTTTCTCCACCATTTCAGAAATGTCATATTAAGAAGACACTGTGCCTTAAAGCTCCAGGTTTTTACAAGTATAGATATTCCCTTTCAAAACAGAGGAAAAACATGTCGATGTGGAGTACCTGAATTAAATCAGTGATTTCTTTTTCAAAATAACAGTGTATTTACCTTTATATAAAAGCAAGCAAACTGCTGAGCTTTCTAGCTGTACCTGGAATGAATAAATTATTATTCAAGGTCAACATTTTGCATTTCTCTTGATTGAACTGTAGTTTATTCCACAAAGTGAGGACTTTGTTCTTCTCTGTGTATCTATTACTTGGTTACTTTTTTTCTTTTGTTATCTCCTTTCTGGTATATTAAACCATGTTTATGTTTTGTTTTGTTTTGTTTCCTTTCCTGTCCTTCCCCATCTGGGGATGGTGAGGATGGGTTTTTCTCTTCCATGTTATCATTAGGTGGCTGGAGAGAGATATGTCTACAAATTTGTGTGTGATCCAGAAGCCCTTTTCTCCATGGCCTTTCCAGATAATCAGCGCCCGCTGCTGAAGACAGATATGGAACGTCACATCAACGAGGAGGACACGGTGCCTCTGTCTCACTTTGATGAGAGCATGGCCTACATGCCAGAAGGGGGCTGCTGCAACCCCCACCCCTACAACGAAGGCTATGTATATTAACACAAGTGACAGTCAAGCAGGGTGTGCTCGTGCTTTTCCTCTTTCTGCAAGATACGGAGTATCTCTGATTCTCTTCAATCTTTATTTTATTTTTGTTGTTTGTATTTTATTTTTAAATAATAATACACAAAAAGGGGCTTTTCCTGTTGCATTATTCTGTGGTCTGCCATGGACTGTGCACTTTATTTGAGGGTGGGTGGGAGTAATCTAAACATTTATTCTATGTAGCAGGAAGATAATGGGTGAATGGGCAGAGGGATTTGGGGATTACTTTTTACTTAGGCTTGTGATGGGGTCCTACAGGTTTTAAGTATGATGAAGCTATATCATGTCTATTTGATTTCATAACAACATAAGATAATGTTCATTTTCTCTGGGTGTCTATGGTACAGTTAATTTCACATTGTGTAAATATCCACTTGGAGACTATTTGCCTTGGGCATTTCCCCCCGTCATTTCTGAGTCTCTGCAGGTGTACAAAAAACCCAATCTACTGTAAATGGAAGTTTAATTGTTAGAAATGACTGTTTTTTGCACCTCTTGTAAAAAGATATTTAGCGATTGCATTTGCTGGTTTTTGTTTTGTTTTGCTTTATATATGACTTGCAGGGGATAACCATAAAATGAGTAATTCTCTCTGAAGTTGAGTAATCACTATAACTGTAAATGAGGGGCACAGTTTTGGACTCTGGCTACCAACTGAGTCACAGGCCAGTAGCATTACACGTATCTGGTGCCACCTTGTTGTTTAGATACAGATCATATTGTCTTTTAAATATTTTGAAACCCATTTCAGTTAAATAATGACATGTCATGGTCCTTTGGAATTTTCACTTAAATGTTAAATCTGGGATCACGATGAAGCAAAAAAAAAAATCTGTCTCTTTTCACTTCCTTCAGTACATAAATACATTATTTAATCAATAAGAATTAACTGTACTAAATCACATATTATGCTGTTCTAGTTACAGCAAGCATTCTTTAAGAAAAATATCCAATACACTAAATAGGTACTATAGTAATTTTTAGACATGGTACCCATTGATATGCATTTAAACCTTTTACTGCTGTGTTATGTTGATAACATATATAAATATTAGATAATGCTAATGCTTCTGCTGCTGTCTTTTCTGTAATATTCTCTTTCATGCTGAATTTACTATGACCATTTATAAGCAATGCAGTTAACTACAGATAGCATTTCAGGACAAAATAGATGACTCAAACCATTTATTGCTTAAAAAACAGCTTACACCATGCTATGCTATAAGCAGCTTTTATGCACATTGACAAATGAAGAGTAAGCTTCAGCTTGCTAAGGAAAACTGTGGAAACTTTTGTAACTTTTGGTGAAAAGGAAAATCATTTACAAACTGTCAAAGAATATGAGGAAGTTGCTATATGACATAGTGCTGGCACTGATATAATCTATTATCTTGTTTTGGACACTCCTGTAAATGTGATTGGATTGTTTGAAAGAAGATTTAAAGGTTTAGAATTTTAAAGTTTTTTGCTATGTTTTTGTTTTGCATTTGGAGAAAATATTGAAAGGAGGATATGCTGTTCCATTCACCTTGAAAAAACCATAAGTAAATGGTGTTATAATATCTCTGAATAGCTCGGAACAAGATTCAAGCAAAGAATGTGAATTTTGTTTAATTCATCGATACCCTACAGGAACAACATTTTTTTAATCTCTAGCAAAATGTTTAAAAAAAAATCCTAAACACAAAGCCAAAATAAACCTATAAAAGCATTTCATGATGAGCACAGCAAAGATTGTTTAAAGGTGTTCACCCCAACTACTCATTTTTTTTCTAACACTACACAGATCACAGCTCATTTCTCTAAATGGAATAGTTTTTAGGAAACCCACGTACCAAAATCGATACTATTCACATTTAATCTTGCTAAAAAACATATTCCCATTCAAAATATGTATATAACCTGTGATTTGAATGATTATTCTACATATACATCACGTATTATTTGGCCCTTTATGGGCTAATAAGTATGCCTTAAGAATCAGAACTTTTTTCCCCAACTATGCTCATGTGGCCATTTACAGCACTTAGAATAAAAAGAGATTTTAAAATATTCACTGAAAGTTTTATTGGAAAGAGAATTGAGATATATGATTGAGATATTTGGTGAAATTGAAGGAGAAATGTTAAGTGGGTCTTTAAAATATGTTCTAAATGAAGATCATATTGAGGATTCTTTTTTTCTTTTTTCTTTTTTTTCTTCTTTTTATTATTTTTTAAATATTCTAGTTTTAGTCAGTCAGTGAGGAAAGATTGGGCCATGAGGTATCTTAAGAGATCAAAGAAAGAAATGGTATTAATTATATAATATTTAAAGACAAACTATATATTTTGGTGTTTAAGGTAGTGACTCACAGAACTAAGTAATTGGCCAACATTAAATATATTTTCAATACAGAAGGGTTCAAAATATTGCATTATCAACTCTTTTGGGAAATGTATCAAAAGCATTTTTTTTTTAAAGTTCTGTTTTACTCCACTTTTTGTTTGGTTGTATTTTTATGTTTTTATTTTCAGGTAGATTAATAAATCTGGCAGCTGATTTCTGCAAGATTCTTGTGTTTTTAATTTCTAATTGAGCTGACTACTCAAATGTAGAAATCAATTAATGATATAAGATCTTCCTTCCACTTGATAAAAGTAACTAAAACAAATATCTCTACTGTTGTTTGCTGCCTCCTGATTATGACATGCTAATATAGTCCACAGATTAATTAATTACAACAAAAATATTGTTTTCCAAATAAGCAATGAAAAATGATTTTTCTTAAGTTGTGCTTATAAAAATTGCTTCAAAGTAAGAATCCACAAGCTGACAGTGCAGAACATTTTTTTCAAATCACAGAAGAATCTTAGAGGTCTAGTTTCCCAGAGATGACGTAATGAATTACCACAACTTTAGTAACTTAAAACTACACAAATTTATCCTCTTACAGTTGTGTGGTTCAGAAGCCCAAAATGAGCCTTAAGGGACTAAAACTAGAATGTTCATAGGCTGGTTCCTTCTGGAAGCTCCAGGGGAGAACCTGACCCTTCTTCCATTTCAGGAGGCTGCTGTACTCCTTGTCTTCGGCTACATCACTTCAGTCTCTGCTTCCATGATCACATTTCCTTTTCTAATGTAGTCAAATCTCCCTCTGCCTGGCTCTTATAAGGACACTTGTGATTACATTTAGGGTATACCCAAATAACCCAGGATAATCTCCCCATCTGAAAATTCTTAACTACCACATGTACCACATTCCTTTTGCCAGATAATTTATTCACAGGTTCTAGGGATTAGGACGTGAATGAAGACACTGTGAGCAAAAATGCTAAATAATTTACCCATGGACAAAAAAAAATTCAGTTGAGGGAGCTAGAATTAGAACATTTTTATTTACCATTTGGATATACTTTATTTATTGTGCCTAAATAGTTTTGAAATCTTACGTATTAAAGTTCACCTATTCTACTAAAGCATCTGGTAGTCACATAAAGCTTTTAGGTTATTTAAATCCCACCAACCATAAATGCTATGTAATGAGAAAAGGGGGGAAAAAAAAGATGTGATAATAATAGTAATAGCACAGTTGATTCTGTTGTCTAAGCCAAATATTTTTTCTAATAAATTTCTTTTGCTGTTAGTATGACTTGTTACTATGTGATCTTAACATTTGCTGGTGATTACTATTTATTAGGTAAGAATGATATATAAAATATGTCTCTGTTACTCAAAAGAACAATTCTAAAATATGAGTCAACTTACCTTTATATGATAAAGGACAGAAATGAATTGCCTGATTCATAGCAATTATAGCATTTGGCCATGGGAGTTTCTAAAATGAGCCATTTTGTCTATCATGCAGCATTGTCAGAGTTTATAATGAGAAAACGTTACAGAGGAGAAGACTATTTGGATGTTTATACTTGGAATCTTAAAAGAGAAAACCTAAAATTTAAAAATAAGAAATAAACTATTTTCTGGTTGCAGTTTGGTACAGAGAAGGGAGAAAATAGAGTTACAAAAAACATACAAATTGATTAAAATAATGGTAAAAAAATTTAAAAAGGCAAATTTCTATATTGAGCAATTTTGATGAGAATTGTATAAAATCGTATTTTAAAAAGTATTAGTGTTGGACATGATACTAAAGAATTTGACCCAATTTGTTCAAAATCAACCAGTACTTTGAGGGCTTGGGGGTTTTTCTGTTTGTTTGTTTGTTTGTTTGTTTGTTTTAAAAAACAGACTCACTCAGAAAGGCATATTAAAAAGAACCACTTATGGAAAAGTATAGTTTAAGAGAAAATTGATTAGGCTAGTGGATGCTTTATAGAAATATTGATGATTTTAAAATGTCAATTGAAAGTGTATATACAATAGCTATGGTTTATGAATTCATATGTAAGGTAGGGTTTTTTTGCATATGAACTTCAATATTCTTATTTACTTCCATTCTAAAATTATATTTATGTTTCTATGGGGAAGAAAATTTTAATTCACTTGTATTAAAATTATACTTACAGGTTGGGAAAACATGCTATGAGATTCATGTGATTATAACAAATTAAATATGCTCAAAATTTAAATCTCAAATAAAAGCCCTGAAATTGAAAATATTGGACTGTCATGATCACTCTGGTGTCACATCTAAAACTGATAAATGTCATCTAAATTTCTGACAACCTTCTAATCATCTTAATCATTTTTAATAATTTATGACCAAGGCACTTTAATAATGCCTTCTCACAATTTCTGTCATTTCGACTCATTCTCTTTCCGGTTAACTTAGGTACCAAGACACATGATAAATCTTTTTCCAGTTCTCTGTGCTAATCTCTTTAGATAACTTATTTCACTTAATCCTTTCAATAAAGATATCGAAAAGAAATTTGGGGAAGGGAAATATCTAAATTATTTCAATAATTCCCGTGTGCCAGACAGCATGGATACCTGACCTATGCTGCCACCTCCATCATTGCTTGGCTTTGTCTGATGAGAAGCTGAAGCTAATAACAAAACCAAAATGTCATTGTGTCAAGATGTCATGTAATCACAGGCAAATTCATAAACCCTGCTATTTTATGCTATTTGGACCTGGTTACTTCCCTGATCTAATTTCTAACACAAAAATGTCTAAAACAATGACACATTTTGCTGAAACAGTGTTATTTAATTTTTTTTTACCATTTTTGAATATTCCTTATAGAAAAGTCTAAAAAGAAATGAAGCACTATTTAAACAACAGCAACAGCAAACCGTGAGTTGTTTTTGTTTTTGTTTTTGTTCAAGAATCTTTAAGCATTTAGAAGTCAAAATGACTTAAGTACCACTTTGCTTTTTTTTTGTCCCCCCCCCCCATTGGAGAAGGGTATGGCTTAATGATCCCCAAAGAAACAAATGAATTCAACAAATTCTTCAGAAAATTGTAAACACTACCTCCATAATTTATACTATGAGATATGACTTCTGAAAATTATATAGTTCTCAGAAAACTTTAAAGCATAGAAGATTCAAAGTCACATGATTCAAAAGAAGCAAAAAATGGTTCTTAAAGTAAAATTGAAAGCATAGAGAAGTCTTAATTTTTTTGAATGTCATATTTCTGCAAAGGGGACTATGACATTCTCATATACATTTTAATTTTCTGAATAGCTGGTAAAATTGTTTGTCCTATAAAAATTTTAACAATGTGAGCTGAATTGGCTGGGTTGGTGAGAAGACAAAATAAGATAATGCATATGATATTACTTTTTAAATTGCAAAATGCTTTATTTTTAGTGAGAATAAAAAGCATTTTTCTTTATTCTTAAAATATTCCTAAATATTAAATTCTTTAAACAATTGTTTCTATACTTCAAAAACTAGCGGTAAAACATATAATAACATAAAACTTGCCATTTTAACCATTTTTAATTGTATAATTCATTGGCATTAATTACATTCACAGTGTTGTGCAACAACCTATTTCCAAAATGTTTAGATCGTTTATTCTTAATCAAAGTGTTATTAAAAACACTCCAGGAGATACTTTGTTATATATTAGAATTCGAAATGTAAAAAATGCAACTTTATGCTTTGTAATCATTTAATTTAAATTAATTGTAGTACCTTTACTAATAAGTTGGCCTTGATTTTATACTGTAGCTTAATAGCTTTATTTTTTTATAAAAGATAAACATCGTATATAAACACTATTTCTGCATAGCCTCAATAATTGTTGCAGGGGAAAAAGTTGATTTAATAACCAGCTTATTAGGTATTTTGAAATCACTCAGTATTTTAAGTAAATGTTAACAAACACAAACATCCTCTTTAAAAAAGCAACATCAAACAATAATCTGATCTCATGTACTCATGTTTTTTAGTGTAAATCGACAGATTTGATTAACATATCTGAAAGACACAAATAGATTGAAGCTATATTAAGTTAAATTCTAGGACAACGATAACTTCCAATAACATTTTTCAGAATAAAATTCCAAACCAGAAACGTGCTAGATCTAGTAACAGTATATAATCAATGTGAAATTAGGATAACAAGATAAACTGGGCCTCTCTTCAGTATCCTGTCACCACATTTTTGGTTTAAACACTAAAAACTTCCTAAATTAAAACAGAAATTGAATATTTTCCATGGCTTTCCAAATCTCTTATAAATTCCTTTCAAAATCTTTCTTGAAATATGGTACTTAGTCACATATAGATTAAGGTGCCTTATTTAGATTGACTCAGTATGAATTAAACTTATGATTTCTTATTGAAAGGGCAGCATGTGAAAAGAGATGATTCTATTATTACGTTTCGTTTTTCTCAAATATGTAATACCAGGCTGAAATGAGATACATTCCAAACGTATTCATTGTTTTTGACTTTTTGTTGCATGAAGAGCTTGTTTTACAGTTGTAAATAGTAAATACTACAAATAACCTATAAAATTGCCATTCAAATTATCTAACATGCTTACCTCTGAAATTTAGTATTAAGAAAATCATGAAATAGAATCAAATGAAAAAAGACTTCTTCCCCAGAATATACTGTTTACTTGTTTTCACAAGAATTTGTAATTATGTACAAGCCCTGAGGCAGTTTTTCTAAAACCAAAACAAAGGCAAATATGAAAATAAATATTTGGATAATTTAGATCTTAAAGGAGAAAAACATTGTGCACTGATTCATTCATTGAGTGAACCTTAATTCACTCATGTGAGAACAGATTCTGGATTATTCATTTCAATTTGTTCTATTTGAAGAAATCCATTTATTTGATTTTGCAAAATCGCCAAATATGAATTTTCCACAAATTGACATTAAACACTACTATAAAATCAGTTGATTGTATATTTTCTAGGCCCATATTAAGTGCTCCACACCATAGGTATACTCTATGGAAAATACAGTAGATTTATTAAAAGCAATCCGTGTCATCAAACTGAATAAGACTGACCCACCTGGATCTAACACACACTCAAATGATCATATGATATGGTATAACATTTAGTGCTGAATAATGTGGCCTAGACCCTATACAAAAAGAGTACAGTAAAGAAGTAGCCCTAAGACTGCTAGTGACAGTGGAAAACTGGGATAATTTTATTCAAATATATGAGCGTTTAAGTTCAATCATACCTGTTGCTATATAAAAGGAAGCATTTAATTAGTCACTAAGTGTAAAGACTATATGATACACAATGTAGTAAGATGTTGGAAATTTATCTAAAAATCAAAGCAGGGCAGACTGCTGACTCATTAACTTCCACACTGCCTTGATCCTGAACATCTTGATTAAAAGTGTTTATGAAATGTCCACTTGCTGTGTAAGTGTACATACTGGGATTCCCTTCTATATTGTGAAGGGGTCATTGTATTAATTAGCGTTTGCTGGTTCCAACTGGTTAGGAGGTTTTCTAAGCCAGGAGGCCCCATTTTGCAGATGCTGTAGCTATTCTTGGTATATGTCCTAAGTACTGGCCCCCTACCCCATCCCTACCCCTGATGCTCAGAAAGGGCAATAGAGATGAGTCACAGGATCCTTCCAACACTGAGTGATTCCAATCATTGATCTACTTGTCCATTGCAATGACCGTTTTACAGCAGGAGGCTCAGAAGCTGGCACCTGCCTAAGCTCTCCAGTTTGTCAGGGATAGTCTCTGTTTTCCTGGGACAGTCCTGTTTTATACATATAGTCCCAGCATATTATTTACAGCGGCCACTTTTACTTTCAAAGTTTTAAAAATAAACTCACTCTTTACCTGCCCCCTAGATCAGAAAACCTGGTTAAAATGCTCTTGGCTTGCCTGGCAGGAGAAATGTATGTGATTGAATCATCATATCAACACTCCAGGACAAATATCCCTGACAGGAAAATTTTTCTGAACCTGATAAAATTAACCATTTTCCACCTCAGTATCTGTGCTGGCCTACAATAGTTATTATACATTTTATTTTTTATATTTCCACATCTTGTATTTTATCAGTCAAAGAATGGCAAAAATTTATAAGAATCACGGACACATGCATCTAGGTTTGTATGAAGCTGAAGTGGATAGATTTTAAGGTTTATAAACTTTGGATATGTCCTCATGAAAATGAATGCAACATTAGTCTGCCTGTTTTAAATAGAAAAGGAGCTTAGTAGGATAG